GTGGGCCCTGGCAAGGCCGCTGCAGGGCTTGCCACCTTGGCCTTCTTCACATCAGGAGCGTTGCACTCATTAGAGGGGCTGCAATCAGCCTCCTGTTTCACCTTCTGGCCTGCTGGTGCAACCTCCTTTTGGCAAGGGGTGGCCTCCTTTTGCTGGTTTGCTGGTGAAGCTCAGGGTGGCAAGGGGCAGCCTCCTTCTGCTGGTGGTGCTCAGGCCCCTTTTGGCAAGGGGCAGCCTCCTCCTACTGGTGGTGCTCAGGGCCCTTTTGGGAACGGGCAGCCTTCTCCTGCTGGCTGCTCCTGCAGGGCCTTTGTGGCAAGGGCAGGCTCCTCCTCCTTGTGGCCTTGCAAGGCATGTGCCTGGCAATTTCCCTTTCGCTGGCACCAGATTTTGGCTGGGCAGGTGCCAGACTCTGCAGCTTCTCTGGCCAAAGCCTTCTCCCTCACCCTCTGCCTCCTTGCTTGGCTGACTGTGCCTGTGCCCTGGGGTCGGCCCTTGTTGTTTGTGTTGCCCCGCCAGCCATTCCAATTGTCCCAATTAGCCATCCCTTTTGTCAAGGGCTGTCCCTTTTTTCAAGGGTTGTTCCCTTTTTCCAGGGGGGCCCCTTTTTGCAAGGGATTTTTGGCCAAGGGGGGCCAAAAACAAAAGATCTTTGAGCTTGAAACGGCTGCAGTTGAAAGTGGTGATGGCTCCACATGGTGTGTGTGTGTGTGCTTGTGTGTGTGTGCTTGTGTGTGTGGTGTATGTGGGAAACATGTTATGAGGAGAAGAAAAGCATTCACTCAAAAACACACACAAGCCAATGCTTGGATATTTACTGAATTAAAATAAGTTCCAAAAAATGAAATGATTTTTCCTCCTTCAGCACCTTCCTCCACCAAAAGGTTGTTGGTTATGTTTTTTTGTGGCTAATGGGTCTTCAAGGGGTGCATTGAACAGCAACATTGTTTTGAACAGGCAGTTGCAACAGCAATCTCACGACTGGCTTTCCCTTGATTTCCACAAGCCCCCCTAGCTGCAGTCTTTTCCATTGAAGCTGACCCATTTTGGCCAAGACAAAGGGGATTGTTGCAAATTATGCCCTTTTCACAAGGGATTGGTTGCGGCAAGCACGCGCAGCTCCTTTCAGCAAGGAGATGCAACTTTGCCCTTTTGACAAGGGGATGAAAGCTAGCACCCAGCCCCTTTGGGCAAGGGTTCTTCTATTCACTGTGCAATTTTCCTTGTAAACAGCAGCTGGCAAACCCTTTGTTCAAGGGCCAAGGCTTCAATCTTTGGGCAAGGGTCTTTCCACTTTTGTGCATCATGTGCACAACTCCTCCCTGAGCTGGATGGCCTCATTTTTTGTCAGGTGGTTTTCTCTAAGCTTGGCAAGAATTGCACCAATGTGTTCACTGTAGCAGGCTGATCTTTTCTTTGAGATCTCCACAATCAACCTGTTTTTCTCCCCTGGCTCTTGGCTCCAATGATGTAAGCTCTCTCTGGGTTCTTGGCATTCACTTTGCTCAATTTCAGCCAAGGTTTTCTTGCAACTGGGTTTGTAGAGCTGTGCTTTTCTGATGTTGCTTCAGCCCTTGCGACAAGGGCAGCTCATAACAATACACAGCTGTTCTTTCAAGCTAGCCGTTGGCTCTGGCGTTTTTTGCCCAGCCTTCTCCTCATGAAGCTTGGCTTGCAAAGGGCACTGGCACTGCTTGGCACTTGTCCTTTTGGCAAGGAAGGCATTGCCTGGCTGTGGCTTGCACTAGCTTCCTCACTGGGGAGTGAATCTCCCTTCTCAGGGCAGCCCCCTTTAGACAAGGGGCTTGTGGTTGGCTGAGCTTTGAGTGGGCTTGTAAAGCAAGTTGGGAAGCCTTGGCTGTCCAGGGAAACATCACTCACCTGTGGCTTGGGTTTTCTTTGTTTGTTCTCCATTTCCTCAAGGGGTGGCCCTTCCCTTTTTCCAAGGGGTGGCTCCTCCCTTTTTCAAGGGGCGTTGCAGGCAGAACTGGTTGGTCATTGCTTTTCTTCTCAAGCAACTTGAGGAACTCAACACTGGTCAACTTAGAAGCACAGAGTCTCATGCTTTCTGGAGATTTGGGCCGCCGAAAATGGGCCAAAATAACATTCAGCCTTTCCAGCTTGAGGCCAACTCAAACTTGCCCATTGAATTTGGAATTGTTGAGGGATGGGTCTGATTGATACACAGTATAGATTGCACCTCTCAAGTTTCCCTGGTGGATTTTACAGGTGGGCTCTGCTTCCACAATACGTTTTACCAGTTCCAGCACACACATCAAGCCTGCAGGGTGGCAGGCCTGTGACCTAGAGATTGTTTCATAAACCCCCAGGCTTGCCAGAAGGTGGGAATGGCACTGCAGCACCCTCACCAAAATTCTAATATCAACTTGGGGTTTGCTGAAGTGCCTGGCCCCACCTTTGCCCATGTTGGCAAGCCCTTTTGTCCAGGGTCAGAACCCTTTTGTCAAGGGAACCCTGCCACAATTGCTATCTCTCTGAAGGATACTGCCCCTTTTAGCAAGGGGGTTGGATAGCGGCACCCTAAACCCCCAGTTGGGCACGCATATACATCAAAGCTGCCATGTATAAGAAGCATGGGTGCCCAAGAAAAAGTCAATAGGGCAAGCACAACCACAGTCAATAGCTAAATCAATATGAAATTCAATGTGAAAATCAATAAAATTGCCAAAGCCAATCAATAAGAACAAAATCAATAGCCGATTGGTTTTTTCAATAAAAACACATCAAATCAATATCAATAAGAACACATGGGTTTCTTTTGATTACAATCAATAGCCGATGCACTGGGAACAACGAGCTTTTTAAGGTCGACCCCCCGAAAGTCCGCAGAGGGTTGCGCGGGCGAATCGAAACGTAAAAAAAAACACGAGTTGTTGATGGTCGACCCCGCGAAAGTCCGCAGAGGGTTCGCCGATTGTTAGTTGCGGAAGCTGCAAAACGTTAAAAACAACGAGCTTTTTAAGGTCGACCCCCCGAAAGTCCGCAGAGGGTTGCGCGGGCGATTCGAAAATCGTAAAAAACCACGAGTTTTTGATGGTCGACCCCGCGAAAGTCCGCAGAGGGTTCACCGATTGAAGGTTGCAGAAGTAGTGTGCGCGGCCGTGCCAGTGCGCACCCGTGCCGACGCTCCGAGCATGGTCCGCATTTGTCGAGGAGCCGAATTCCCGCACAGGGCCAACGTTTTCTGCCGCTGGCTATCCCCCAGTTCTCTCGCTTTCCACCTTTTTCATAGGTTTTTCGCGCACATGCATGTATCTTAAAATGATCTATCTGTCAAGCCTTGATGTCTAGCTAGCTATCTGTCAAGCCAGCTATATCTCAAAGCAAACTATCTGTTTAGCTAGCTATGTGGCAAGGCTACCTCACTGTGAAGCTAGCTATCTGTGAAGCCGGCTGTTGGTCAGCAACTAGCTCAACTAGTTCCGGTACTACGGAAGTTCTTGTTAAACTTCCTTTGATGATGTATCAGACCTTGTACAGAGTGTATTGGAAGAACCTGGTAACTGTTGTTTCCTGAATACCTTATCAAGCACAAGCAGCAATGGCTCTTTCTTCTATGAGATAGAAGTCTGTTGGCCTTGAGCCAAATGTCAACGTGAGACATGAGTGTGTCATGAGATCAATGGCCTGTAAAACAGGGAACAAAAAGCCCCCCCCCCCCGCCCACAAACCCCCATGGTGCGGCAACACAAGTTGTGGGAAACGCTAATATTTGCCCCCCCCCCCCCCCTCCCCCGTGGTACGGCAAGAATAGCTGCATTGATAAACCGTTGCCTTATATGTGTTGCAGCGACGGCGAACCATCCGCGCTGCGGGTATCTATAGACATTATATGTATCATGGCTGATTGCAACTGAGTCTAGCTTAGGTAGATCCGTTCGTCTGTGCCAAACACGTGCCAACGTGTACATATTATGTACTGGGTTCGGCAACACCATCTTGATGCCATCAACCGGAGGCTGTCAAGTTGGTGGCTGTATGAGACCCCGAAAAGCAAAGCATTGAGGGGGAAGGACACGTGTCAAGCACGGAAACAACAAGCTGGTTTAGCAGCCCAAACATGCCCAAACAGCAAGGGCACAGCATGGCTCAGCATGACAGGAGTTTGGGCGCGTCCTCCAGCTTGTGTTGCACCGGCACTGCTCGTGGATTTAGGGATGCCAGAGTCCACCAATCCGCCAGTTTTCCCGGGGCTGGCGTCATGTGAGCTTACCTTACAGGATGCGCCATTGCGGCACAAGCGCGCAGCGTGAATGCCATGCCAGCGAGCGCCCAACAACCCGGCAAGATCCACACGCGCAAGTCTCTTACTATCTAAAATGATGATTGCATGCAAGTTGCCCCTGCCGAGCGAGTCGAATCGACGAGATAGGAGTCCCGGCACTGGCGAGAACCTGAAAAAGCGCAACAACTTCGATTTGGAACAACGCCAAAGTAACGGTACAACCAAATAATGCCAAGACAGTTCAGCTCAAAAGTGTTTGCCCAGGAACAATATTCTCCAGACTGACCGTTCCAAGTGGGCTTGTCACAGTTCTGCCTCCGGCAAGTTGGGAACGTCGAATCCTGAATTGGGCATGGCTGGGCAGCTGAACAATGACCCTGTTCCTCGCAATCGTCTCACTCTGCTCTCTCTTCAGCTGTCCAAGTCGGAAGCTCAGCTGTTGCAGGTTGCTTCAGGTCTAGTCGCTGGCTTGTGGGCAGGGACAGGGCCGCTGGCATCGCGCCCACCTGGTGGACTTGCTCAGGGATGTGACACCAAAGCGCAAACTCACACAAAGTCACAAGACCGGGTACAGGGTACACTGCCGGCGCGCTCCAGCAAACTGCCAGAAACATGCGCGGGTTGAATGAAAGCACAGGGCGTTGACGCCATGTTCTTCATCGACGAGGAAACCTGGTTTAGCGGCCCAAACATGCCCAAACAAGCCCAAACAGCAAGGGCACAGCGTGGCTCAGCATGACAGGAGTTTGGGCGCGTCCTCCAGCTTGTGTTGCACCGGCACTGCTCGTGGATTTAGGGATGCCAGAGTCCACCAATCCGCCAGTTTTCCCGGGGCTGGCGTCATGTGAGCTTACCTTACGGGATGCGCCATTGCGGCACAAGCGCGCAGCGTGAATGCCATGCCAGCGAGCGCCCAACAACCCGGCAAGATCCACACGCGCAAGTCTCTTACTATCTAAAATGATGATTGCATGCAAGTTGCCCCTCCCGAGCGAGTCGAATCGACGAGATAGGAGTCCCGGCGCTGGCGAGAACCTGAAAAAGCGCAACAACTTCGATTTGGAACAACGCCAAAGTAACGGTACAACCAAATAATGCCAAGACAGTTCAGCTCAAAAGTGTTTGCCCAGGAACAATATTCTCCAGACTGACCGTTCCAAGTGAGCTTGTTCTGCCTCCGGCAAGTTGGGAACGTCGAAGCCTGAATTGGGCATGGCTGGGCAGCTGAACAATGGCCTGGTTGAACAAGCAACATGTCCACGCAATCGTCTCACTCTGCTCTCTCTTCAGCTGTCCAAGTCAGAAGCTCAGCTGTTGCAAGTTGCCTCAGGTCTAGTCGCTGGCTTGTGGGCAGGGACAGGGCCGCTGGCATCGCGCCCACCTGGTGGACCTGCTCAGGGATGTGACACCAAAGCGCAAACTCACACAAAGTCACAAGACCGGGTACAGGGTACACTGACGGCGCGCTCCGGCAAACTGCCCGAAACATGCGCGGGTTGAATGAAACCACAGGGCGTTGACGCCATGTTCTTCATCGACGAGGAAACCTGGTTTAGCGGCCCAAACATGCCCAAACAAGCCCAAACAGCAAGGGCACAGCATGGCTCAGCATGACAGGAGTTTGGGCGCGTCCTCCAGCTTGTGTTGCACCGGCGCTGCTCGTGGATTTAGGGATGCCAGAGTCCACCAATCCGCCAGTTTTCCCGGGGCTGGCGTCATGTGAGCTTACCTTACGGGATGCGCCATTGCGGCACAAGCGCGCAGCGTGAATGCCATGCCAGCGAGCGCCCAACAACCCGGCAAGATCCACACGCGCAAGTCTCTTACTATCTAAAATGATGATTGCATGCAAGTTGCCCCTGCCGAGCGAGTCGAATCGACGAGATAGGAGTCCCGGCACTGGCGAGAACCTGAAAAAGCGCAACAACTTCGATTTGGAACAACGCCAAAGTAACGGTACAACCAAATAATGCCAAGACAGTTCAGCTCAAAAGTGTTTGCCCAGGAACAATATTCTCCAGACTGACCGTTCCAAGTGAGCTTGTCACAGTTCTGCCTCCGGCAAGTTGGGAACGTCGAAGCCTGAATTGGGCATGGCTGGGCAGCTGAACAATGGCCTGGTTGAACAAGCAACATGTCCACGCAATCGTCTCACTCTGCTCTCTCTTCAGCTGTCCAAGTCGGAAGCTCAGCTGTTGCAAGTTGCCTCAGGTCTAGTCGCTGGCTTGTGGGCAGGGACAGGGCCGCTGGCATCGCGCCCACCTGGTGGACCTGCTCAGGGATGTGACACCAAAGCGCAAACTCACACAAAGTCACAAGACCGGGTACAGGGTACACTGACGGCGCGCTCCGGCAAACTGCCCGAAACATGCGCGGGTTGAATGAAACCACAGGGCGTTGACGCCATGTTCTTCATCGGCGAGGAAACCTGGTTTAGCGGCCCAAACATGCCCAAACAAGCCCAAACAGCAAGGGCACAGCATGGCTCAGCATGACAGGAGTTTGGGCGCGTCCTCCAGCTTGTGTTGCACCGGCGCTTCTCGTGGATTTAGGGATGCCAGAGTCCACCAATCCGCCAGTTTTCCCGGGGCTGGCGTCATGTGAGCTTACCTTACGGGATGCGCCATTGCGGCACAAGCGCGCAGCGTGAATGCCATGCCAGCGAGCGCCCAACAACCCGGCAAGATCCACACGCGCAAGTCTCTTACTATCTAAAATGATGATTGCATGCAAGTTGCCCCTGCCGAGCGAGTCGAATCGACGAGATAGGAGTCCCGGCACTGGCGAGAACCTGAAAAAGCGCAACAACTTCGATTTGGAACAACGCCAAAGTAACGGTACAACCAAATAATGCCAAGACAGTTCAGCTCAAAAGTGTTTGCCCAGGAACAATATTCTCCAGACTGACCGTTCCAAGTGAGCTTGTCACAGTTCTGCCTCCGGCAAGTTGGGAACGTCGAAGCCTGAATTGGGCATGGCTGGGCAGCTGAACAATGACCCTGTTCCTCGCAATCGTCTCACTCTGCTCTCTCTTCAGCTGTCCAAGTCGGAAGCTCAGCTGTTGCAAGTTGCCTCAGGTCTAGTCGCTGGCTTGTGGGCAGGGACAGGGCCGCTGGCATCGCGCCCACCTGGTGGACCTGCTCAGGGATGTGACACCAAAGCACAAACTCACACAAAGTCACAAGACCGGGTACAGGGTACACTGACGGCGCGCTGCAGCAAACTGCCCGGAACATGCGCGGGTTGAATGAAACCACAGGGCGTTGACGCCACAAACCTGGGTTAGCGGCCCAAACATGCCCAAACAAGCCCAAACAGCAAGGGCGGTTTCGGTTTCAGGCCTGCCCGAGTGTTCAGGCTCGTCGAGGCATGTGCATATCTGCGGGTGGAAGGGACCGCAGACCTGCTGCGAAGTTTTTCCTCGCGCGGCTGGCGTCTTCCCGGGCGAGCGCCCATTGCCGCACTCTGGTGATCTTGGATGCAAATACGATACTTAGATACTGGGTCGTCTGCAAACTGAACTTCAGAATTGGAATATCTCCTTACATCTTAAGTTAAGTGAATTCACAGGCATCTGTTTGCTGAATGGTGCACAGGCTCATACAGGTGCCACGCCTGGGCACCCGCTTGCAATATGTCTCAGTCTCGATTGAGCAGTGTGTCTTTCATCGTCCACGCAAACATACACAAATTGCGGCTTGGAAATCGAGACTGCCTACACCACCGACGGTGTCTACACCACCGATGGTGTTCCTGACAGTAGAGGCATCCACGGCCCACGGTTCTCGGAAGAATTGGAACGATTTCGGAACTGAACAAGTTGAGCCACTACTGGCGTTGCTAGACGTGCATCATCTCAGCTGTTTGGCGCCGTTCTTTGCAAAAACTCTAAGATCTGGAACCACAAGGGAAGGATCAACACGCCTGCAATGTTAGCATGGCACAAGCTTGTTGGCAACTAGGTGCGCCTTGACATTCTCAGCAAAGGGCGACATTAACACTTTCAAGATACATGGAATCAAAATATGGACCATGTAAAGCATGCATCATCAACGAACCCGAGCCTTGCAGCCTTTCAAATATAGACATAGGCTGGCCATATAATAATAGTTTGCGCACAGCAAGTATATACATGTAGGACCTTCAATGCGGAACATAAAGTTGGCCCCAAAGGCTGTCTGCATACAGCAACGCGCTGGCAAGACACACTTTGGAAAGCGGCTCAATCGAACATTGCGGAATGCCCCACAAATCCGCCGACCCCTTCGCCTAAAGGGGGAGGCGCACGGGAAGGGCGATGGCAAGAATTGGCACTGTCCTTGCCAGAGATGCTATCGCTGCAGGAAATGCTGCGGGTGCTCAGGCTGCGTAGTGATGCTGATAATCCATGCTCAGGATCCTCGTCATGACTTGTTTTCTCAAATCTTTTCTATATGTCGTCTATATAGCCGTCCACCTTCATAATCGTCGATATGATTCGTTTTCTGAAGTCTTTTCTATATTTTTACATACTGTTCAAGCGCCCCGTTAGACCCGGCTTGACATGCAAGCGATGTGTAGTGATGGTTAGCTTCATTGCTGCTAGGGATGCTAGAGATGCGTAGTGACGCTTATCCTCCACCTTCATCTTTTTGATATGTTTTCTATATACATTTCCAGTGTCCCGTTAGACCCGGCTTGGCATGCAAGCGACAGGCGTAGCGATGGTTATCATCGTCGCTGCTAGGGATGCTAGACATGTGTAGTGATGCTTATCATCCACGTTCATCTTTTCTATATCTTTTCTAACACGTTTCAAGTGTCCCGTTAGACCCGGCTTGACATGCAAGTGATGCGTAGTGATGGTTATCATCATTGCTGCTAGGGATGCTAGAGATGCGTAGTGACGTTCATCTTTTCCCTACCTTTTCTGACACATTTCAAGTGTCCCGTTAGACCCGGCTTGACGTGCAATTAGCAGCATCGCTGCTAGGGACGCTAGAGATGCGTAGTGGCGCTTATCATCCACGTTCATGATCGTCGTCATGATTCGTCTTCTCAAGTCTTTTCTATAGACATTTCCAGTGTCCCGTTAGACCTGGCTTGACATGCAAGTGAGGCGTAATGATGGTTATCATCATCGCTGCTAGGGATGCTAGAGATGCGTAGTGATGCTTGGCATCCATGTTCATCATCGCCGTTATGATTCGTCTGCTCAAGCCTTTTCTATATACTGTTCGGGTGTCCCGTTAGACCCGGCTTGACGTGCTAGCGATGCGCAGCGATGGCTGTCATTATCGCTGCTAGGGATGCTAGAGATGCGTAGTGATGCGTAGTCACGCTTATCATCTTCGCTGTTGGAAATGCCGAGGATGCGTACTCATGGTTATCCTCATCGCTGCTAGGGATGCTAGAGATGCGTAGTGATGCTTATCATCCACCCTCATGATCGTCGTCATGAATCGTCTTCTCAAACTATCATCGTTCTACCCAGACTATCGATTAAGAAATTTTGTATACACATTTGAAGTATCCCGTTAGACCTGGCTTGAACGACATGCCCATGCTGGAGGACGCTTCGTTTTGCCGATCGCCATCCTGCGCTACGATGATAGTTATCATGACAGTCATCGGCAGCTTTGGTAGTGCAGAGGATGCTGTGATGATACTTATCGTGACAGTCGTCAGCCTTCTCATCATTATCCTTTGGTCATCAGGATCTCTGGTCCTGCAGTATTAGCAATGCAAATGATGCTACAATGATAGTTATCATGACAGTCATCGGCAGCTCTTTGGTAATAGTTGTCATGACGGTCCTTGGCAGCTTTGGTAATGCAGAGGATGCTGTGATGATACTTATCATGA